CGCTGGCTGGCTAGGTCGCTCTGTAAGTAAGGCTTTTCCCTATTGAATATCCTTATATTTCTACCTGACTCCGTATTGGTAATTTCCCATTATACATGATCTTATGTGTACAGTTACATGTGTGTGTGTGGAGACCAGGAGACAACCATGGCTGTCATTACTCAAGTACCACCTTTCTTTCCTGGCTTAGATCTTACCAAAGAAAGTTAGGCTGACTGGTCAGCAAGCCCCAGAGATCTTTCTGTCTTGCTCTACCCAGCCCTGAGATAACAAGTGTACACCACTGAGCTTGCCTTTTTTCTTCTTTAAACATTAATTCTGAAGATCAAACTCAGGTCCTTTTGCGTTCAAGGCAGGCGCTTCACCAACTGAGTTTTCTCCTCATCTCCATCATTTGAGTTTTTGAGAAGTACACCATGCATTGCTATGCCTGGAATGGTACTAGAATTACATCTATTGCACATCTATTGCAGGCCTTTTCACAGGCCTTCCAATTCCTCATTCCTTGCACCACAATAAAGCATATTTCTCAAGATCCAGAACTTGTGGGAGCCCACTACTCCTTGTCTTGCATGGTAGCTATTACCTTTAAGTTTTTATTAATGTGCTCAACCTCTCTATTGTATAAAAGGCACACCGCTTCACATGGCTATGGATTTTGGATGATGATTTCACGGTGACATCACCTTTGCCCTGCTTTACTTAGTATATACTCTAGGAACAGGGTAAAACCTGCCCCAGCATGCCTTGAGCTGTCCCAGTTTGTCCTGTCACTCCAGTCTGATCTTTAATAGCATCACTTCAACTCATAGCTGTCCCAGTTTGAAAAAGACAGCATAGGTCACTCTACTTGTGACAAAAGTTCTTATTTAATGATAGTGGCTAGAGGTGCTGTATTTATTATTTAACCCCTGGTAATCATGACTTTAAAGCTCAATTCTTTACTCCCTGTAGTTTTAATCTGTAGTTTTATAGGCACCCGATTCCATCTGTTCAAAGTGAACATGTTTGATTATTCTGACCCATTTAATGCCATCTACCCAAGGTCCAAGTTACAAACTTTTGGGTCACTTCTATTTGTCTATTTTCCTAATTCTTATGATAAATGGTATATCCTCTTATCTTTTCTTAATTCTTTACCAGGCTATCATCACTGTAACTCCTACATTTTTTTTGCAGTGATTTCCTACATATCATATGTATCTGTGCTTTAATGTGTGTCCCAAATCACTCTTCTCCAGTGAAGGCCATACAGAAGTCTAGAAGACAGGAGATTGAATGGTGTCCTTGGAGTTGCATTGTCAGTTATTGTGGCTGGGTGAAGGGGTCCAAGGTAATCTGCAACAGAGGAGGTAAGCAAAACATAGATATGCTCTTCAGGGTTCCATTTGCTATGTAGTGACTCTGAGACTGACTGAAGTTTTCATAGAACATTTCAGGGTTGAAGCAAGACTGGTAGTGATGAGAACTGCATCCTACAGAGATCAGTGTATGAATTTTGAAGAGGGAAGGAGCAGTGCCAGTGAAGAAATGACCTCTTATGATAGGTAAGGACACACACAGATGAAAGAGACCCCTCTTTTAGGCAGAGAGTCTGCACTTGGATGTGCAGATACTACATATAGATCCCATTTATTCTTCAAACCTAAGCCATCTTTTCTAAACTTAACATGCAGAAATCTCATAATTGAAGTTGCTGCTTTGAAATGAAGCCTAATACAAAAGCTGAATGTTAAGCTCCACTGTTGTTAGCAAGTGAGCAAGTAAGTGCCTTTCTCTCCTATATGTTTTGTATCTGAAGTCCAAGATGGCCCTGAATATAGATTATGTGGCACTGAGGTCTTTTCTGGCTTTTTACCTTATCCTTCTAACTTCCTTTAACACACCCCCACTTTGCTCTTGATTATTACTGCATGTTCCTACAATAGAAAACAAATTCTTCTATATATGATTTCCCAGTAGGATTGACTTTCCCTAAGGTTAAGGCAAGTCTTGGTTGGTTTCGACCTGACTTAGCAGTTTTGAGTTTCAATACACACATACACACACACACACACACACACACACACACACACACACACACACACACACATGCTGTGAGACCTTGCCCAATTTTTCTGACCTCCTAAAACTCCAGTACAAATTATCACCATCACCTTCAGCCTTAGAGGGGTGATGCCTATGTCCCATTTAGGGACAACCATCCCACCTTCATCATCATTACCATCAGTATCATTATCATCATCACCATCATCAGCATTGGCATTATCACCACTATCATCATGATCACCATTATCTCCATAGTCATCAGTATCTAGGTCATGGGCATATTGTGTGACTTAACTGAGATGTGAATCTAAAGTGAAATATGGTATCTGGCATATGACACAAACTCAAAACATGTTCTTAGTCATTAATTAGCTTTATGTAGTTACAAAGTCTGACTGTCTCTCACTGCATCTTACAAGTTAAACTCTCTTACCTTGTTTTCAGTAGATATTTTTAACATGTGCATTTCTGAAGCCAATTGGATCTAGTTTTTCTTTTCGTTTCATTTTCTATTTTGTTAAGGTACTGAACTGAGCTCACTGAGTATTAGAACTAAGGCACGAAACCTCCTAGAAAGTCACCTTGCTTCCCTTTAACTTCAGTTAGCCATAGTGTCAACACTGCTTTTCTCCAATGCTGATAGAAATTTGGCAACTTTCTCATCTCTTATAGGGATTAGACATTCTAATAGCTGAAAGTGGAGCAATGATCACACAAGTAATTGTTTAGAGAGCAGGTCAAAGTGTTAGTGCCTGAATTTGCAAGTCTAAATTGAATTACTTCTCTTAGATTGAACTTCCAGCTAATGTATGAAAATGATATTTACCATTTTTAACCTCCTTAATAGAATGTTTTTTTCATGATTCTAATTTTCCTCTCTGGGCTGACCAGAGCAAAATCATAAGATCAAAGCAGCCTTTCTCTGTCCCTTTGTGTATGATGATCTGTAATAGCCACGTATGATATAGCACAGGTATTCACAAACTCAGCCCTCCAGAGCATGAAATGGCTCCTTTTCCCTACCTCAATCTTCCTCTGTGTCACTTGGCATACCTGCCATTCTTCAAGTCTGTCTGTGGTAAGTTTGAGCTATTTGAACTGAAGGTGGAAAGAGCCTGGCATCCATTCACTTCACCTTTTCTGTATTTGACTCAGATTTGTTGGGCACATATCACCCCAGGACCCAATAATAGAGTCTAAAACTCCTGTTTTTTTATTTTGTCCACAGTTTTCACCATCTACTCTAGCACTATGTGTCATATTTGTTCACTGAATGTCAGTTTCTCCCAGTTAGAATACAGGCTCCACAGGGCAGGGGGTCCTATCTGTCTTGCTATGTTACTGTATCTTAGTATTGAACATGTTTCTTGGTGCATAGCAGGTGTGCAATTGTATAGACTCTATGTGTGTTACCCAAGATAGCTAATGCAAGGTTATGATGGAAGCAAAATGTTGCTTGGTCCTTCCTGGCCTCTCATGTTTTGGGTTGACTTTTCTCTCTAGGATAAAGTTCCCAGCGTTCTTTCCCTAATAGCTCAGGATTCCTTTCCAGAAACTCCCAAGCCTACCATCCAGATGAACTTTCTCTTCCTCCCTTAATATCCTAAGAACACAGTTCTAGAACAATAGCAGATCATGCACAAACCGTATTAATTTATTTTTTCCTTGAGATACTTATAACAGACTTAGAAACAAGTGCCAACTTATACAACCACTTTGGAAATACTGATTACTACGGCAGTTTCTCAGGAAAATGGAAATCAGTCTACGTCAAGATCTAGCAATTCCATTCTTAGGTATATATCCAACGAATGCACATTCATACAACAAGGACATATGTTCACCTATGTTCATAACAGTGTTTTTTTTGTAATAGCCAGAAACTGGAAGCAACCTAGATGCCCCTCAACTGAAGAATGGATGTAGAAAATATGGTACATTTACACAATGGAGTATTATTCAGCGGGGAGAAAACAATGAAATCTTGAAATTCGAAGGTAAATGGATGGAACTGGAAGAAAACATTCTAAGTGAGGTAACCCAATCATAGGAAGACAAGCATGGTATGTACTCACTCATATATGGATATTAGACATAGAGTAAAGGACTATCAGCCTACAATCTACACCACCAGAGAAACTAGGAAACAAGGAGGACCCCAAGAGAAAAACACATGGTCCCCCGAAGAAGGGGAAAGAGACAAGAACCCCTGAGAAAATTGGAAGCACCGGGGGTGGGGGGAGGAGGGAGGTAGGGAAAAGAGAAGTGGAGCAGAGGAGCTGGGAGAACAAGAGGGATCAGGAAGACTGAGATGGGAGGAATAGAGGAGAGCAAGAAAGGAGATACCTTGATTGAGTGCAGGTTTAGAGCGAGGTCTGGCACTAGGGAAATGTTCAGGGATCCACAGGGATGACCCTAATTAAGAATCTAGGCAATAGTGGAGAGGCTGACTTTGATTCTCTTCCCCTGTAATGAGATTGATGACTACCTTGGTTGCCATTCCAGAGCCATCATCCAGTGGCTGATCAAAGAAGAAGCAAGCATCCACAGCTAAACACTGAGCCATACTCCTGGAATCTAGTTGTAGAGAGGGAGGAGGGATGAGCAAAGGAGCCAAGACCATGCTGGAGAAACCCACAGAAACAGTTGATCTGACCTAGTGAGGGCACAGAGACCCTAGTCGTAAAGCTGGGGAGCCAGCATTGGATTGAACCAAGTCCTCTGAATGTGGGTGCCAGCTAGAAGGCCTGGGCAGGCTATGGGACCTCTAACAGTGGAACCAGTGTTTATCCCTAGTGCACAAATGGACTTTCGGAGCCCATTTCCTATGGAGGGATACTATTGCAGCCCAGATACACGAAAGAGGACCTAGCCCTTCCCCCAAAGGATGTGACAAATCTTGATCTCCTGTGGAGGGCCTCACTATCCTTGCATATGGTCTGTGACTGTGAACTGATGCCATACCACTGTGTTTAAAGTGACACCCATTTTGCTGTAAAACTACAGCGTGGCGCTTATGGTTCAGGCATAGAAAGAAAAACTGCTTCACAAGATCTTTTTCTCTTAGAAACCTCTTTGTAACTAGAAGAATGAAGAAGGGTGATAGTACAGTATTCCCTTTGAGGTTTGCAGGTGAGACCAGTTTATGGAGGCAGCAAGCACCGGGCCAATGGGTTTTGAACAGAATGTTAATCAACAACATTATTTCTTTTAGCTACTGGTTTTCATTACAGTTCAGCATTTTTCTGCTTTGTGTTTGAATTCCAGTCAATTTCCAAGGTCACCCAACCCTGTTGCTTGGGGTCTCTTTGCCTCTCAGCTTCCTGTGAAGTTGCTAACAAATGATCAGATGAAATAAGGAAGATTAAAAGATTCTGCAGGATATCCTTGTGCTATGTGGGTAACCATATCCTAACATCTATGTGAACATACACTTTCCTATATTCAAAGTTAATGTATCATTATTTGGAAGGTGTGCTAGGTGAATTGCTCTCCCTTTCTCTCTCTCTCTCTCTCTCTCTCTCTCTCTCTCTCTCTCTCTCTGCCCCCCCCCCCACCGTGTTAGAAGAATTACCTGTGTTGCTTGATTAGGACTGTAGGTTGCAATGAAAAAGAGGAAGAAACAAAAACCAACAACTGGTTGTCAGGGCATCCACTCAGTGAAGGAGGAACTATGATGTCCTCAGCATCCACTTAGTGAAGGAGGCACTATGGTGTTCAGTTGATCTGATCAGGGGGTATTTGGCTGGAGGATGCTCAGGATAAGGAAACTAATTGTGTGCACACTTTAAAGGCACCCAGTGCTTCAGGGGGGCACTGGCACATGTGTAGATTTTGTTGCTTGCACCCTTGGTGTTTATCTGTGAGGATGAAGAAGGGCAGAGAATCAGGCTTGGTGATGCAGGCTTGCAATCCTAGCTACTTTGGAGGTCGATACAGGGTGATCATGAGTTCAAGGGCTGCTGGGTCTACAGAGTGAGTAAAGGGCAGCCTGGGAAACTAAAAATAAAATGTAGAAACAAAACAAAAAGGGCTGAGGCTGGAATTCAGTGGCAGAGTTCTGGTTTCGTGTGTGCAGGCCCTGGGTTCTACGAACCAGCACTAACTGACAAAACAACAGAAAGAGTTAGAGAAAGGAGAAATATCCAGGCTTAGTTTAACTACAATAGAATAGTGGTGGTAGTATGAAAGGACTCAGAAAAAGGATACATAGATAGGTACAGATTCTCTTACCCACAAGCCTCTAGGCAAGATCTAAACATTGTTTGTGTGCTAATAGGAGAAATGTGAGTTCCTGATTGGAAGGACCAATTACTTGGTAAAATGCTTACCTTACCAGTGTGAGGACTTGAGTTTCATTCTCCAAGCCGAAGAAAAAACACCAGGGGTCATGGCACATCTGCAATCCCAGCAATGGGGAGGGAGAGACTCCTGGATCCCTGGGGCTCACTGGCCAGCTAGCCTAGCCTAGCTAATGAACTCCAAGTCCTTGAGAGAATCTGTGATCAAAGGAGGTGGGTAACCTCCTGTGGCTGAGACCAGGGGCTGTTCTCCGGCCTCCATGTGTATGCAAATACCTGTACACACACCTGCACACATATAAATGTGTGCACACATGTACATAAAGAGAAGGGGTTAGCCCTGGCTGCAGTTTTTCCATCAAATCCAAGCAGGCGTTTTTTGAGAGACAAACCCAAGGCTGAACTTAAGCATCCACAACAGCTTTCAAGTGAAAGACCGTTTACTGAGCGAAACACACTGCGTTGTAAAATATTAGTTTCTTATTACTTCTCGTGAACAGCCAAGTAAGTAAAGAGCACAATGCGGGAGATGGATTTTCTACAAGATGGGCGGCATCGTGCCGCTCTCTATTAGATCCCATGAAAATCAATCTGCAGCCTCGTTCAGCTTGGTAAAATTAGATCTAAAACTATTTAATTTTGTTTCCAGAGTGTTTTTCTCATCCAATGCCTAGCTTAAGGACACAGAGTGATAAAATACCCTGAGTTATTACCAGCTCCTGTGCGCCTCTGCAGGGTGAGGATTGAACAACACGACATGTTTTCTGAAGGTCTGCTGGCTGAGATGAAATGTCTTCCACAAAGAATATGACTCTGCAACCTTCCTGGTATGAAGAGCCTCACTTCTCATCCCTTTGCTTTGCATTCTGCTGGGTTTGACACTGAAGTGTGGAAAATAGAATCGTAAAACTTTTTTTCCTGAGTCTTTCTTCTTTGTTTGTTTTTTTCTTTGAATCATTCATTCATTCTAGAAAGTAGTTATTTTGGAGACCAGGGAATAGGGAGCATATGGCCAGGACAGTCATGGTGGGGAAACAACAGTGAAAACAGAGGCAAAGAGGGACATACTATCATCACTTCTCCAGAAAGTTGTTCCCTTCGGAGGTCCTGGTAATAACCAAAAAGTTGGAAAGAGAAAGAACAAAGGCTTCTGAGAACACCTGGTGTGGGCTCTTAGCCATCTGGAAGAATCCTGCAGTAGCATATCCTGCTACCACACACCTGCCTGAGGCCTCTCCATCTCACCATCTGGGGTCTACATAGCCCTGAGCACAGTTAGAACTAATATCAGGCTTCCCACTCCAGATGAGAAAGAAACCCCACTGGAAGGGAAGCTTGCTGTGGAATTGGTAGGGATGCTGAGGCTGGGGCCTAGGTATTTGTGGTCCTGTTTTCAACTTTCTAACAAGGTAGAACAAACAGGAAAGTGGCATGACCTGTGAGTACTTGGAATTGAATGGGGACACATTTCTAACAGATGAGATTATAGTAGAGATGTCTATGGGGTCGAGGTGAAGTGACATTATGCAGTTAACAGTGAGGCAGGGATTTAATTGCACCTATATATCCTAGCAGACACAAATAATTAAATAACGAGGGCTTATGCTCAGCCCTGATTTTCAGTGGCACTAAAGGGCCAATGAGTTCCTCTCACTTCACAGAAGGCCCAGGTTTTAGGCTTGCAAAGTTATTACATGGGGTATTACCAGCTCAATCATTATTGATGGGGGGATAGGTGCTGATCAGTGGTATACTCTAGTCATCATAGCTCCTCCACAAAGACAAGGATCTGTACCACAGACATCACCAATCTATGGGAGCTGGAGTGTTATAAATCTCATACTTACCACTCTAGGTAGCAAACTATGCATTTTTGTGTCCAATTAAATACTTTATTGTGTATGTGTGTCTTGTGTGTGTGTAGTGTTTTGTGTCTCTGGAGATCAGAAGACAACCCACAGGAGTTGCCTCTCTCCTTTAACTACATACAGAAACTTTA